TTTTATTTTTTGATTTTATTTTGGAGTAGTTTTCGTAAGGCAAAAATCACGTGCTCACAATTGGTAGGGTGAAGGTGACTCAAGAAGGATGATAAAACATAAAGCAACAGGTACACTCGGGTTGGATAAGATATTAGTCGTGCGAGTAGAGATTGCTAAACTAAACAACCAAATGGCTAAGATGGAAATGGGTCAAGGACATCAAATGCAGCTGGTTCAGAGGATGACTATATGTCGTGAAATTTGTGGGGATAGCCATATGGGTGACCAATATCCAGTGAATCCTGAATCTATCTATTATGTGGCCCAACAAAGTAGAGGTCCAATGAAACAGAATAATCAATATGGGAACACATATAATCCTAAATGGAGGAACCACCCGAATTTCTCATAGGGTGAGAACCAGACCACTCATAATCAATATAGGCCTCAAGGAACTATAATCTGCCTCAAAAGCCATCTCAACAGGTAGAAGAAAACACTAATGAAATGTTGAGAAGGTGTAAATTGACAACCAGCAACGTCAAACAGATAATCAAAAATTGAGGACTGAATTTCGAAACATAAGGAGGCAGATAGGGCAATTGGCTGCACAACAAAATACTCGACCTGCAGGTGCCCTTCCTAGTGATACAGATAAGAATCCTTAGGTAAATGTTGTAACTTTGAGGAATGTCAGAGAGTTAGAAGAAGTACCAAAAAGAAAGAAAGAACAAGTCACTCCTAAGAGTGAACTAATCCCCAAAACTGTGGGAGAAGTTGAGAAAGAAACTGAAGAAAGCGGAAACACTCTAATTGCAAGGTCGCCACCTCCTTTCCCAAAAAGATTGAAGAAGAAAAATGATGACAGGATGTTCGACAAATTTCTTGATATGCTAAGCCAAATTCAATTGAACCTTCCACTAGTTGATGTGCTACATGAAATCCCAACATATGCTAAGTACATAAAAGATATTGTGGCTAACAAAAGGAGGTTGACAACATTTGAAACTGTGACACTTACTGAAGATTTCATCTCGAGAATTCAAAGAAATTGCCGCAAAAGTTGAAGGATTCGGGGAGCTTCACCATAGTTGTTCGAATTGGTGAGGTAGAAGTGGGGCGAGCACTCTGTGATTTAGGGGCTAGCATAAATTTGATGCCTCTCTCAGTTTTCAGTCAATTGGGGTTGGGAGCTCCAAGGCCAACAACAGTCATGTTGCAACTGGCGGATAGATCTATTATCCATCCCGAGAGGGTGATAAAAGATGTGTTATTACAAATTGGGCGTTTCATTCTGCCAGTAGATTTCATTATACTAGACTATGAAACTGATGAACAAGTCCCCATCATCTTGGGATGACCTCTCTTAGTCATCGCTTGTAATAGTCCAGCCCGCTAATGATATTACCCACTCTGTACCTAAGTCCTCACGGGTCACTAGGGTCTAAGGCTTGTTAATTTATATACCCAACATTCCTCTTGTATTTTACCGATGTGGGACTCTGTCTAAAGTCTGGTGTGTTACATATACCCCCTCTTATGGACTCAGCGTCCTCGCTGAGGTTTTGCCCCATCGCATAGGATTCACCTATTTGGAATTTGCGTAAACTCAGTTGAACTCTGACCCACCATCGGCATGGTTGACACAAGAGTGGCTCTGATACCAGCTATAATAGCCTAACCCGCTAGTGATATTATCCACTCTGAGCCTAAGCCCTCACGAATTTAAAATGTGCCACTAGGGTCTAAGGCTTGTGAACTTATGTACCCAGCATCCCTCTTGTGTTTTGCCGATATGGGACTCTGTCTAAAGTCTGGGGTGTTATACCGTTGATGCTGTGATCAAAGTTTGTAAAGGAAAAATAATCCTCCGGGTTGATAATGTAGAAGAAGTCTTTAATGTATACAAGGCAATTCAGGTGCCAAGTCACAATAAGGATCTAGCTATGATATTTGTGATTGAAAAGGAAGAAGAAAAAAATAATGTGGGTGCATATCTGGATGACTCTCTAGAGAAAGCACTTATGTTGTTTGAAATCATTGACTTGGAGGACGAGGTGAAGGAGATGGTTCATCATCTGAATGCATGTGTGTACATCAAAGGACTGATCGATTTACAGCCTCTAGATAAACCAACCGGGCAACACCCAAGACGTCTATCAAAGAATCTCCTAAATTGGAACTCAAGCCCCTACCCTCCCATATTCATTATGCCTATTTAGGTGTTGATGAAACTTTCCCTATTATTGTATCTTATGACTTATATATTTTACAAGAAGAAAAGCTATTTCGCATGCTTAGAGAGCACAAGCGGGAGATTAGATGGACTATGGCTGACATTTGTGGTATTAGTCCAGCATTTTGTATGCATAAAATTCTCATGGAGGATGGTCACAAACTGAGTGTAGAACACCATTGCCACTTGAAACCAGTCATGGAGGATGGGAACAAAGGTTGGAATGATGGTGGTCACAAATGATATTAATAAATTAATCCCATCTAGTACTGTCACCGGTTGGAGAATTTTCATTGACTAACGAAAAATGAATAATGCTACTAGAAAAGATCACTTCTCATTCCCTTTATTGATCAAATGATAGATAGGTTGGCTGGACAAGACTACTATTGTTTCCTTGATGGATATTCCGGCTATAACAAGATCTCAATTGCACCAGAGGACCAAGAGAAGACTAACTTCACTTGTCCTTATAGCACTTATGCTTAAAAGTGAATGTCGATTGGGTTGTGCAATGCACCTACGACTTTCAAATGTGCATGATGGAAATCTTCACTGATATGGTAAAAAAATTTGTTGAATGTTTATGGATGATTTTTCGATCTTTGGACCATCTTTTAATGAATGCTTAACGAATTTGAGTAAAGTGCTTGCGAGGTGTGAAGAGACGAATTTAGTGTTAAACTGGGAGAAGTGCCATTTTATGATACGAGAAGGAATTATACTCGGGCACAAGGTGTTCAAATAAAAGTTGGAGGTGGATAAGGCAAAAGTGGATGCAATTAAAAAAAATTCACCTCCAATCTCTATCAAAGGAGTTAGAAGCTTTTTGTGACATGCATGTTTCTAATGTAGATTCATTAAAGATTTCTCTAAGATTTTTACTCCCTTTTTGCAGGTTGCTTGAGAAGGATATGTCTTTCAAGTTTGATGAACACTGCTTGAAGGTGTATGAGAAGTTGAAAAAGAGATGGGTGACTACACCAATTATCATTGCCCCAAACTGGGGAGAGTTTTTTGAAGTGATGTGTGATACAAGTGACATGACAATTGGGCCATATTAGGCCAGAGGAAAGATAAAGTGTTTCATTCAATTTACTACGCTAGCAAAACTCTAAATCCATCTCAAATAAATTACACAGTCACAGAAAAAGAGTTGCTAGCGGTAGTATGGGCGTTTGACAAATTTAGGGCCTACTTGGTAGGAACTAAAGTCATCGTCTACATAGACCATGAAACCATCAGGTATTTGTTTGAGAAAAAGGATGTTAAGCCTAAACTAATTCGTTAGGTTCTTCTCTTGTAGGAATTTGACGTGGAAATCAAAGATCCAAAAGGGACAGAAAATCAGGTGGTAGACCATTTGTCGCACTTGAAAACTGGCGCACATGTTGAGGAAGGGGTCGAAATTCAGGAAAGCTTTCCTGATGAGAATATTCTATCCATCACAACTGGCACAGCCCCATGGTATTCTAACTATGTGAACTTTATTGTAAGTAGGGTGACTTCGTTAGAGTTATCTCCAAATGGTATGGGGAAATTCATGCATGATGTAAGGCTTATCTATGGGATGAGTTGTTTTTGTTTAAGCAATGTGCAGATCAGTTGGTGCACCGATGTGTTCCTGAGGAGGAGATGGAGGCAATTTTATATGATTTCCATGCATCACCATATGGGGGCACCATGGTGGAGACAAAACAGCTGCAAAGGTATTGCAGTAAGGATTTTATTGGCCTAAGCTTCTCAAGGATGCACATGTTTTTGTGAAGATGTGTGATAGGTTCCAAAGGATGGGTACAATTTTGAGAAGGCATGAGATGCCATTGAAGGGCATACTTGAGGTCGAAATCTTCGATGTATGGGGAATAGACTTCATGGGGGCTGTTTCCAGCATCAAGTGACCATCAATACATCTTGGTTGCAGTTGACTATGTGTCAAATTAGGGTTAAGTTTGTGGTTTTGCCTACGAATGATGCTAAAGTGGTGGTGAGCTTTTTGAAGAAAAATATTTTCACCAGATGCGGAACTCCGCGTGCTTTGATCAGTGACGGAGGTACTCACTTTTGTAAAAAATTGTTAGGCAACCTCTTAGCTAAGTATGGGGTGAGACACAAGGTTACAACTGCTTATTATCCGCAAAGAAGTGGTCAAGTGGAGGTCTCAAATAGGGAGGTGAAGCAAATTTTGAAGAAGACAGTGAGCGCAAGTAAGAAGGATTGGGCGAGCAAGCTAGATGACGCTTTATAGGCATATCGCACAGCATACAAAACTCCAATTGGCGCTTCACCGTACAAGTTAGTTTATGGAAAGACTTGTCATTTGCTTGTTGAGCTTGAGCACAAGGCATATTGGGCAATCAAAAAGCTCAACTTTGATATGGATCTAGCTGGGAAAAAATGGATGTTGCAACTGAATGAGCTCAAGGAGTTTCGACTGCACGCATATGAGAATACGAAGTTGTATAAAGAGAAAACAAAGAGATGTCATGACAAACACATTTTTTATCATGAGTTCGAAGCTGGACAAGTCATTCTCCTGTTCAATTCAAGGTTGAAGCTCTTTCCTGGGAAGCTTAAGTCTAGATGGTCGGGTCCATTTGAAGTAGTGTGGGTTACAAAGCATAGAGTCGTTGAGCAAAAGGACCCCGAAAGCAATGGCACATTTTTAGTCAATGGGCAAAGAGTGAAATGCTATTGGGGTGGTGGCATTCATCGTCACAAAACTTTGATAAAGTTGGTGGATGTGTGAGAGAACGTGTTGCATCGTGTCGCGATGTTAGATCAGGCACTTGTTTGGAGGCAACCCAATTTTTAGTGCTTTCGTAGCTTAGATTTTTGTTTTTTTTGGTTAAAGTAGACTAGATTTGTTTTTTGTATTCATAGAACTCATAGGTATGAATGGTATGGAATGTGTATAAAGGATGTATTAAGTGCTCGTATAGGGGGGGATGTTTATTTAAAAATAAAAATAAAATAATAATAACTATTATTATTATTGTTATAATTTTCGGCGAACTAGTGCCCCATGCTGCCTGGGACGCACATCACAGAAAGTTCACAGCCCCCAGCGCCAAGCCTAGCACGCCACACTGGGTTAGGATCACCAGGTACGTCAATTTTTTTTATTTCGTTTCATTTTTTTGTTTCTTTTATTTAAACCCCTAACTCATAAAACCCAACCCAATTACCCACCTATACTCACCTAATAACCCATAACCATAACTCATACCCATTTCCCCAACTATTAAAAATAACTCTAACCCCCCAAATCCCCATTCTCTCTTCCCACTATTCTCTGTCTCTACCCGATCTTGCGCTCTCTCTCTCTCTCTCACACACACACAAGTTCTCTATTGTTCCATATGTGTTTTCTTCTCAAACTCAAAGGTATGTGTCTTCTTCCCTTTCTTCTCTTATAACTTATGAATTCTTTTGTGTTGTAATGCCCGCCCACCCCCACCCCCCTCAAATGACCCCAATCTCCCCTTAGGTCTCTTTTAAATTTTATGTTGCTTTGGTGGGTGACCCTGATGTGCACGAAATTAGCTGCAAAAATTGGTTGTTCTGTTGTATACAGAATAGTAAACTACAATTCCTTATACTTTGGTTAAAAATTGGAAGGGCCACCATGTTCTACCATTGTTGGGAAATAAATCATACTTGATGACCATCATGTGTTTGCTATAATGCTTGAAAGAGTGAATTGTGCCCCAGTAAAGTCTGAGTAGCTGAGTGTCATTGTATGTGATGTTAGGCTAAGTGTGGGGTGTTTAGGGGTGATTTTATATAATCCAAAGCCCGTGTTCTATGTTCACCATACCATAATCATACTACCCACACCTTGTATCATATGTAATGTATCTTGTAGCCTCTTGTTAGAAGTAGTTAGTGTATTATACTGGTTGTAGTAATTTGGACTCAAGTATTGCTTGCTTGCAGTATGGCTAAGTCATGGCCATATTCGACTACTTGAATTGTGTGCCATGGGAAAGTCTTGAGTACCCATCACCTTGTGGTGCAATATTTGTGCACTTTAAACCATTATTGTGGGTATATTATATAGGGCCTTCAGTTTTAAGTGTGGGGGTCATCCTTAACTCTCACGATGACATTGTGCGAATTTCTTGATTCATTCTCACATTCATGTTTATCGTGTATAGGTTGCTATGGCTCGTGACAATGATACCAAGGGAAAAGGAGTGGGTAAGTCTTCCACTACTACTCCCCCACCCAAAAAAATGCAAGCAAGTTAATAATTCTTTTGACAAGCTAAAGGGGAGTATGTTTCTAGTGGGTCAAAGAAGGCACCATCAGGACCAAGACCTCATTTGGATCTAGTTCGGAAGGATGCCATCCAATGGCATAATAACTTTATGCCATACAGCCGATACACCTCCTAAATGAGAATTAATGTGAAGACTCTAGAAAAGAACTTCCCGGATATGCTTGCCCGGTTGATAGAAATGAAGATGGATAAGTTCCTAGAGTTCCCGGGCCATGCAAATTTGAGCATGGTAAAAGAAATTTATGCGAATTGGAATGGGGACTTGTTCAAGTCATGGGTCCACAGAAAGGAAATACCAACGGATGGGCATTCAATATGCGAATTTTTAGGAGTTTATAGCCCTAATCCATGGAGGCTACAAAAGTTTGTCAAATGCCCAAGCTAGCATGCAATATGTCACACTCTTTATGGCGTCGATTCTAATGCAAAGTTGACACAGACTAAGGGAGATTCCCATCTTGAGATGATCCGCTTTGACTTCAACAAGACTGCCAAGATGTGACAAAACTTCGTGCAGACTAGATTGATGCTGGTTAAGCACAATAGTGAATGCACTCGAGCCTGAGTGTGTGTTGTATTTTTTCTGATGACTGGGTGACCCATCAATATGGGTGAGATCATGCTAGGGGAGATTGCCCGCACCCACTTTGGGTGAAAGATCAAAAGATTCTTCTTTGGCAACCTCTTGACACAGTACACGCTATTCTATGAGGTACCAATGTACCCCAGCTTTGATGAAATTTTGGAGACACCAAAGGATTTCTAGACATTACGTCCTCATTGTAGTCTACGTCAAAGCTAAGCAAGGCTGCGAGGAATGAGAGGGACAAAAACTTCAACAGGTATCTCTATAGCTCCCTAAATATGATAATGAGCAAGCTAGGTGTGACGGATGAGGAGTGTATGCATCTATGCAATGATCTCTCCAGTTCTTTAAAGGAGATGTTGGGGATTGCGCCTAGCAGTCCTATTCACCCATTTGAGGATGAGAACACCCACAAAGGATCCGATGATGAGGATGAGATTGGTGATGAAGTCACGGGGCCCATGGCTTTGGTTCCCCTGGGAGCGGATGATGATGATGAGCCCGGGGCTGCGGCTGGTGGGCATTCTAAGGAGAAGGATTCTGACTAGCAGGGAGTTCTTTCCTTCCACCTTACTTTATTTTGACTTTGTTTATGCATTGAAGACTATGCATTATATAAGTGTGGGGTGGGGGAAATACTTCCTGACTTGTAATTGTATAAACTATTTTTTTAATATTTTTTTCACTTAGTTTATAACTCATATGGTCTAATTAGTTAGTAGTAGTTGTAGAAAAATAGAAAAACAAATCAGAAAAAGCTCGGACTTTTCCCAATGATAGATCTTTTGGATAATTTTTTTCTGAGGGGTTAAAGTCCTTAAAAAATACCAAAAATATTTTCTTTTGTTTTTAGTAGGATAGTTAGGTAGTATCCCTTGATTTTTCTTTGGACGATGGTTCTTTTCCAAGCTTGAACCGGGTGTTTTTTGTTTTAGAGTAGGATAGGAAGAAGACTGAGTTGCTCTAGGAAGCAGAATATGATGAAAGTTATTCGTTAATCTGTATTTGATGGTAAGTATGGATTGACATTTCTAATTATTTGATTTAATTAGGACCCTTAAAAAATGCAATTGATTGGGCATCTCGACCTCCAAATGTTTGGGGTGATAAAGCAGCAGCAATAGTGAGTGCTGGAGGTAATTTCGCCTGTTGACATGTTTAATATTGGCACATTAAGCTATGGCATGTGCTCTGTCTTCCTGAATATTTGATTTGAATTGTAATGCCTAAGTAAAATAAGTAGCCTACTCTGTGATGCATTTTTCTTAGTTATTTGACTTGTATGTCACCTAGTGCGGTATTGCTTAAAATTTCTCAACTATATGTGCTTGCCTGAGTGGAGAGTTGAACAGAATCGTCTTGATTGAGTCATTTGCATTGTGTGTGCAAGGATTTGTGGTATACTGTGCTATCCATTGTAGTCTAGAACTTTCCTTGTGTGTTAATCAAAGCAAAATTATTAAGTTGTGCTAGTCTAGTAGATGACGTAGGTGTTTCTTGTCTGATCATAGATGTGCTTGTCACTTACAAATAAAAAAATTTCGTTGCTAGACCTTGAGCCTATAGACCTTTTCTTTGGCACCCACACTACAAGCGTATCCCTATTTTGTTCTTAATTTGATTTTGTTAAACCTTTACCTCCGAAGGCACTTAGTCACTAAAAGAAGTAAGGTGAGAGATTTGAGAAGTAGCTTTCAAGTGGACCATGGAAAGGCCTATAAGGTGTACTAAAGTTGTAAAAAATACCACTATCCGATGAGCCTTAATGTATGATGTGTAGAAAAAAATAAGAAAATAATGTTGATATCAAAAAATAAAACATACACCTCCTAATCTTACTAATTCGTGGTAGTGGGGATATAGAATTCTTAATTGATGAAAGGGCTATATTGTGTATTCTTTGTGGAGAGTGAATTGGTTGAGAAAAAAAGTGTTTGATTCTTGAGTATAGTGTATTAAAGTGCTTAGGAGGGTTATTCATTATTATTAAATGTACCCTACCAGTCCCTTGGTCTACATTACAACTTTAAAGTCCTAATTGATCTTAGATTTTGCTAGCTTAGATTAGTAGAGATGTACACAACGGGCAATCTTATGGTACGACCACGGGATGCACATGAATTTCTTTGTGAGAGTGAGCGAATTTTGTTCAATTGTGTGATGTCCTTAATTTATGTTCAAAGTTATATTTGAATGTGTGAACTATTTCTAAATACACTCTTTTGTTTGTAGTAAGGGAACTTGATCTCATGACGGATTAGTAATATTGTAAACTTCTCTTGATGATGAGTGCACAAGTTAAGGGTGCTTACTGGTAACAAGCCAGCTCTTGAGGTGGGTGGTTGTAGATAGATTGTTTGAATTGGTTGAATTGCATTGTTCGTACTTGGGCATGTTTAAAAATGGGAAGAATGTGAAATTCGTGTGTTCATGCTTGATTGTCGGTATCGACCATGGTCAAAAGGTAGAGTGTATGATTGAATTAAATTTGAATTGTTCATTCTTAGAGAGATAAACATTTTGGGGTGTAGTTATAGTTCCATTGCTCAAGGATGAGCAATAGTCTATGTGTGGGGTATTGATATTCGGCTTAAAGTATATATATTTTTATGCATATTGCCTCGCATTTAACTTATGTCTCGTAGATTTTGGATGTGTAATATAATGAATTTTGCTAATTTGTGGTATTTTTATGTAAAGGAATCATCCGAAGGAAATTTGGGATGAATGTGCACGAATTAAGGCGAAAAGGGGAAGAAAAGGGAAAAATCCACAGTGTAGCGCCACAAGCAGCGTGGGGCGCTACCTGTGGCGCACAAAACAGAATCTCCAAGAAGGACAGCGCCAGGGCTAGCGTTCCACGCTACCCTGGACGTTG